TATCTATCTGTAATTTTAGAGTGGTTTAAATTAGTTTAGAAAAGCATTAATTAAAAATAATTTTAAATTAAAAATTCGTTAGAACTAATTTAGATTCAAACCAATTTAAATCGATTTACATGAGAATTTGTTTACGGCGTGGCCAGCTACCGGTCCATCCTCGGATGAGAAGGTTCGAATTTTTGTTTTAACTTGAGCAAAGCTCAAAAAAACATTATTAGGCGGAGTTTTTCACGGTGATTACAAATCTGCACTCAAAAACAAATGAAAGTCAAATCTTCGTGGTGAAAATATAAATTTTTAAATTTTAAATTTAATTTTTTGATCTAGAAATTTTTTTCAAAAACTCTGAAAACTATATCGTCGGATAGAGAATCAAATCCTCTACCAAAGGGCTCATTTGTTTTGACATTTAAATGCCCAAATTTTTTTTTTCTAAAAAAGGTTTTGGCACTTGAGCAATTTTATGCCCGTTTAATCTAACTTTGAAAATTTATTTTTGACTGCATGGGATGAAAGACACCTCAAACTATCTAATCTATCTATGTGCAAATCAGAGCTTGCTAACACATGCTAACGAGCTTGTTGACATAATGCCTACGGCAACTATAACAATGTCATTACTTATGCTATATGACTCTATGAAATATGAAGATATGGTATAGATATATCATTCTGTTTTAAAATTTATATCTACGACTAATTGCTTTAAGCAGCCTGGATTTCCATCTGTTACGTATCAACAGTAAGTTCGATCAAATGGTTGCTACATGTGATGGGAGTAAATTGAGTTGCAGTTCTAGTGTGAGCATCATTAGGTTCAATAAAACCATTGTAACCAACAGTGCAAGTGTAACATCTCTTTAATATAAGGATAAGATGAGGATTTCTTTTTCTTTCTTTTTCCTGACTTTTTCTTTCTTGTTATGTTTTAGGTTCTTAGATTTACATGTGTGTGTTTCTGTGTATAGCGCTAAAGTGGGCTTCTTTTAACCCTTTGTGCTCAGGTTTTTTTCTTTTTTAATAAAGGTTTGAAATAGAGCTTGCTAAGTAGTTCTGTGACAGAAAAAATATGAGAAAAAATACCATATATACCAGGTAAAATATATATGAGAAAAAAACTGTGAAATTCCGTAACGGTCACTTTTATTCGATTTCCTCTGTCAGGGAACTAATTCAAGAAAAAGTCAGTAGTGATTCTGATAGCCCAAACTGTGAGCTTTCATTTAGTAACTAGGTAATCATTTTAAAATTAATTTACATTTTACTGGAATACCCCGAAAAACACTTCCGTTTTTTGAAATTCCGTAACGGCCTCTATTTTGACTATAATTTTTGATCCACTTGTTCAATCAAGCTCAAACTATTTTTGGTAGTAGAACTCCCTACATATAAATTTCATTGATAAACGTTGCTTCTTTACCGAGAGAAGGGGCAGAGAAGACGAAAAAAATGAAATTCCGTAACATTTGGTCAAGCCGTTTACATTAATTTTTGGTTAAAAATTAATTTAAACTAATTCGAGACTAAGTTAGTTCAAACTACCTGATGAAGATTTCAATATTTTTTTCAAAAACGAAAAAACCCAAAGTCCCCATACTATATCTGATATAGTTAGAGACTAAGTTTTCTGAAGCAACGTTTTGCGAGGAATCCAGTGGCAGTCTCAAAAATTCTTGAAAATGTTTCTAAACAGAAATAAGTACCTATTTTAATTTCGAAAAACTTGAAATTAATTTACTTTAATTTTGGGTACAGAAATTCGTTTAAATTAATTTTAGCAAATGTTTTCTAAATTAATTCAAATGAATTAGTTATTATAAATTGATTTAAATTAATTTACAAATAAAAATCAATTTTGTTTAAAGCACTTCAAAGAAATTTGAGTCAATAAATTAATTTAAACTAGTTTTCAATACAAAATTGATATATATTATTTTTCGTTAAATCGGTTGGAACGAATTTTTGATTGAAAATTGATTTGAATTAATTTCGATCAATAAATCCATTTAGATTGGTTTAAAGAAAAGTAATATACATTAATTTGATACTGGAAATAAGTTTAAATTAATTTATTGACTCATATTTCTTTGAAGTGCTTTAAACAAAATTAATTTCTATTTGTAAATTAGTTCAAATAAATTTCAATTAAAAAATTTTGATTTTAATTTTAATCAACAATTCGACATTGTAAAAAGTTTAACAAGATCATCTTGTTCATAACAGCATACTATTAAATACATACATGTGTACTTTAGAAAATGCGTACAATTTTAATTCGAGGTTACAGTTTTTATCACAGAACCGTATGGTGACCGTTTTCGTTTTGTGAGAAAATTTTCAATTCAAATGACCAACTATTTAATTAACGATACGTAGTTCTGTTCACTTATTTTTAATCTCGGAGAAAATTAGTCTCTTGTAGTCTACACGGTACGAGCCAACAACTGAAAATGCCGTCCTCACGTATTTTTTAAGGTAGATGCTAAATAAATGTTCGCCCTTTATCGTAGCGGGTTTCTTACTGATAGAAGAAAACTAGCATAAAAAACTCTTATCCATTTTAAACAGCTTAAATTTCCAGTAGAAGGATCTGCAGTGCCGCGGCTAAGGGAGGGGTGTACGCCCCCCTGCTTTTCAAGAAAATCTTTTCTCTTTAACAAGCTCTTCTCTCCCAAAAATTTCGTCAAAGCTCTTGCCCAGATTTGGTAGCGAAAATCAATATTTAACGAAAAACTGCTTTCTCCCACTTTTTCTCCCAAACTATTTGAGGACAATATCTTTCTTTCACGGTTTCTTCAAAGAGAAAAAAAGCTCAAATTGATAACAAAGATAATAACCAATACTCGATACAGTTCGCATCAATTCGCTGCGAATTCTTAAAATAAGCGTAAAATGCTAATTATTGCATCATTTTCACGTTTAGAAATTGCGATTCGTCAATTCGTTTTAGACACTTTGTCCATACATCTCAATTAGACGTCATGGATAAGGTGTGGCCTAGAGGAGAACAGTAGATCAGCTCTTCACCTGACAGTTATGAACGCTAGAGTGTCATCATCTTCTGCAGTACTCTTCAATGATAAGTCCCAAAACAATGAGTTGCTGTTGTTGAAGGTGGTCACTCTTTAAACGATTTCCATCATACTGAGTACTTCGGGATGGCTACAACCGACGAAATTCTCTCGAAAAACTACATACACATTATCTCATGACTATTTTTGTAAAATTAATTTTTTCTTTTTAACCATCTAGTATTCAGCCTAGTATTAAATATTAAGAGCAGATTTTAATTTATTCAGACAAAAACCTAAAAGAAAAGATTTTCAGAAACGATAATTTCATTTATTATTGTAGGAATTGGAGCATTTAAGTTACAATTGTTCAAAAAATTCATTGATAGCTATGCTAGCATTAAACAAAAGATCAAAAAAACGTGTTAATGACTGTATTCATTCGAGTCGGAAAAGATATTAAACAGCTGAACAAAAGAAAATATGACTGAAACCAAGGAGCATGATATTCCGTACCGCCGCTCTAACCACCTGACCTATCGAGCCACAGCTTCATTCTATCTTCTTTCGTCTTACGTAAGTTTAACAAGAAGGAAGACTTTATGCCAAACGCGTGCTTGTTATGAGTTGAAACATGCGCTATGCGTACACCGCCTTTTCAACTCGTAACGAGTTTAAATAACTGGTATTTACTGCCTCAAGTAACTAAACGTTCTAAATATATAAAAATAAGTTTGATAAATAACCAAAAACGAAAACTCTACCAGTATATTAATTTGTTTTGGTCAACGGCCATCTGAAACGCAGATTGTGAACGTGTTCAGGGTTTCTTTTGTGTAGGCTGAATCCAGGAATTCCTTATGAGTTTAACGAGACATCTTCCTCTTACGCTTTTCTGCCTTCTCAACACTATGAGTTTATAAGTATAAGTAGAAACTATCGTCCTTCATCATAAATTCTTATCTAATTGATGCGACTATGCTTAAAATAGGCAGAATAGGGAAGAAATTCTTTTCTTTTTCTGCGTTCATATTATGTGATGGATAAAATCAGAAAAGATCTCGGAATAATGAATAGTCGAGAAGAAAAACATGTGCATAAAGCACAGTATTATGAAGTCATAACATTTTCAACTTCATTCTAATTGTAAACTTAAAAATGTTACGTCGTACGTGGAATGAAGTGCTCTTATGCGACAATGAAAGCGATTTATCAGATTTCATTAAAGATCAACAGGTTTGTGTTTATCGAAAGGAAACATTTAACACCGGCACATCGATTACATATAAATGTTCACAATACAAAAAGTACCCACTGTGTCAGTTTCAACTGAAAGCAAAAGAAAGTTCAGATGGCTATCAAGTCTATTCATCAGAAGCACATAATCATCATACGCGCGCTCAGACAAGTCGTCTTCCATCGCCTGTTCGACACAACATCGTACTAATGACAGATACCGGTTTAACAGCCCGACAAATTCAAAAGGCAGTTACCGTGTTCAATCCTCAATTATCAAACGATATAATAAAAATTCGGAATGTTGCACGTATACATCGGCAAAAGAATCGTTGCAGTATAAAATTTATCGAAGATTTACAGACCTGGTGTTCAAGTCGGAATCATTTTCCACCCACATCATTGCCACATCAGGTATTTGTACCCCACTTTGAAGTAACT